TTTTTTTTAAAACCTCCTAATCCTACTCCTGCACTCTGTCTATCTCTAGAAAGCATAACAACCACTTACCCCTTCACTCTATCTATCTCTTGTACGACATGAAAAAGCATCATACTCCTACACTCTGTCTATCTTTAGAAGATATAAAAAACCCTCGTACTCATACATTCTGTTTATCTTCAGAAAACATAAAACCACTTACCCCTTCACTCTGTCTATCTCTTGTACGACATGAAAAACCCTCCTACTCCTTCACTCTGTCTATCTCTTGTACGACATGAAAAACCCTCCTACTCCTACACTCTGTTTATCTGCAGAAAACAGAAAACATCATACTCATACACTCTGTATTTCTCCAGAAGATATAAAAACCTCCTAATCCTACACTCTTTCTATCCCTGTAAGTGTAAGATATAAAAAAAACCCTCCTACTCCTACACTCTGTCTATCCGCAGAAGACAGGAAAACCTCATACTCCTACATTCTGTCTATCTCTAAAAGTCATAAAAACCACTTACACCTTCACTCTGTCTATCTCTAGAAGACATAAAAAAACTCCTACTCCTACCTTCTGTCTATCCCTGTAAGTGTAAGACATAAAAAACCTCCTACCCCTTCACTCTGTCTATCTCTTGTACGACATAAAAAATCCCTCCTACTCTTACTCCTACTCTCTGTCTATCCGCAGAAGACAGAAAACATCCCCGTCACGTTCCCCCAACATGCCCCCCTCGTCATTCAGCCAAACCAGTGTTGACAGACCCACGGGTCATCTCCCTTTGCTCACAAGACCGCGCAGATTGCACTACGGTACTCACTCCAGGCACTTTCTATTTTTATTCGTCTCCGCAGAGGTGGGTTTCCGGGGAAGTTTTTAAAAATTTTGTTTTTTTACTTTATTTGGTTAATCCACATCGTTCTTCGATAATGATTGAGGTTGTAGGGTTTGGGGTTGTTTTTTTTGTTGTTTTTCTTTAAGTTTTTTCTTTTAAAAGTTTTGATTTGTTGGGTTTTTTTTTAGTAGGGGACACGTTTGTTGTTTTTTTAAAGTTATTTTTTTTAATCTATAGAGTCCTTGGCCTTCCTTTTAATCCACGTCGTTTTTGGAAAATGATTAAGAATTATTTTTTTTTGGCTTTAATTTTTTTTAGCGTTTTGATTTGGGGTTGTTGTTTTTTTATGTAGCGCAGAGCATACACATTTTTTAGAAGAATTTTTTCATCTATTCTTTTTAATCCTCGTCGTTTTTGGATAATGATTAAGTTTTTTTTCTTTTTCTTTAACTTTTTTTTGTTTTTGTTTTTTAGTTGTTGTTTTTTTAGTAGCGGGCGGGACGCACGCACCGTTAGTTTGGCTGCTGGTATCGCGCTGGGCTTAGCTGCAGTTGACGCTGGTTCAAATGCCCCAAAAAGGGAGGTTTTTCAACTTACTACTAAGGTATCGAATAAAAAA